CAAATCAAAAATACAAAACAAGAGCTTCGAATGTGCCTTGTGGTTTACCCCCACCAAACAGGAAGACAAGGAAAAAAAAGAAAAAAGGAAGAATTTGATCTGAAATCACATCAGAAAATTAGAATGGCGAAAACAGGGCAGATAACAGAGATAAAAAATATATTTGACAGAGACAAAGAAATCTTTACAAATCTGGTGAAAATCAGAAGATTTTGTTATGTTATGGAGGACTATGCATAGTGTATTCCACTTTCTGAACGGTAAATATGCCATATCAGATTTCTTTTTCTGCCAACCAACACGAATTTTTCAAATTTTAATAAATTGTATTACTATTGCATCTAGTTAGTACCTCGATTACATATACACACACACACACACATAATCATAATTAAAAATACGTTAGTAATACTCATGATAAAATAAGTTAGCTAGGGTTTATTAATTGAGAGATTACCTTTTCACAATATTTTCTTTTCATATTATCCTTGATAGCAATTGCTTCTATGCAAACATCAGAGGCAGCTATGTAATTGGCTTGGAGTTTTTCCACTTGTTCTGCGGCATCATCAATTTTTTTCTTGAATTCCGTAACAGCTGCTTTAGCTTTTATGGAACTATCGGTCAATATAGCAAGCTCCTTCCGTAAAACAACCTGCCACCAAAACCAGATAGCAAAATCATTCTCCGCTATAATATGTATGTATGTTTTATAGATATAATCAAACAAGTTAACGAAACATAATATATAATATCACCTATGTATGTATACCTTTAAAAACTCTTCGGCCTCCTCTCTCACTTCACGATACTGCCTGATTCTATCTTCTTCTATGATATCAAAGAAAGAAGAAGAAGATAATTTTTCGCGACGTTGGCTCAGTCGAGTGATTTCACGCTCGAGCTTTTTCTTTCCCTCCAATGCAAGAACATCATGTTTTATCTTATTTTCTAGGTCACATATCTGCAAAATTTAATCTTTTTAGGAAAAAACCAATCTTTTTTTTCTCTCTAATCCAAAAGAAAGAATAGAATTTCCATGCATACCTGATTATTGATATGCACAATAGATAATGCATTTCGGGCTTTGGTAACTATAGATTGAACGTGATCTATTTCCAAATGCTTTGCCTTCAACAAACCACTTACATTTATGTTCTTGATCTTGAGAAAATTATAATAAACACGAAGAATTTCATTGTCCGCCTGCAAATTGGCCAAGAATACCATTACATTTGTGACATAAAAAAACAAAATCAATTAATGAAAAAAAGACGGCTTACTAATTTCTCTTCGATTTGTAACTGAATAGCATCCCTGGTTTTGGTCTTTTCATCAATTTGTAGCTCCTCAATTGCACGTAGGAGCGATTCGTGGAGAGAATCCCTACTAATCGGTGGGAATTTAATCAAATACCTGAATGACTCTGTTGCAGCCTCAACAACATTCATACTGGAACAAAATATCAAAAGTTATAGATGAGTAATATACATACAATGTGTAAAGAGTATGTAAATATGCCACAAAATAAAAATCATAAAGAAAATGAAAATTAAATCCGGAAGACCATCACTTGTTCAGCTTATTCTTTCTATATATTCAAATTAAACGATTTTGTGCGCCTAATTCAAAGAAATAGGGGATTATGATTTTGTGAGTCTAATTCCAAAAAAAAAATACAAAATTAAATCTTCAGCTTATTCTTTCTATTGTTAAATCA